ACAACATAAGCTGGATGATACAAATATTAGCATCCTCGTTATACAGTTAAGAAGACAGAGAAAATTGTCATGACACATCTAAAGTCACACAGCTAGTAGATGATACAACAGGACTCCAACTCAGGACATCTCACTGTAAATCCTCCATTGCACCACCTAGTCTTCCCAATGGTAGGAGGAGAACTAAGACAGAGCAATTTCACACAAATCCAGAGAGGAGAGGGTGGTCAACAGTGTCAAATGCTTAAGAAAAGCCAACAGGTAAAGGAACTCTGGATTTGGAGTCAGGAAGACCTGAGTTCAGATCCAGCCTCAGACACTCATTAGCAGTGTGACCCTAGGAAAGTCATTATCAACCATGTGCCTCAGTTTCCCCATCTGTAAATGATAATAATATCACCTTCTTCCTAGGTATGTAGTGAGTATAAAATGAAATAATGTTTGTAAAACATTTTTCAGATCTTAAAGCACTATATAAATACTAGCTATTATTTTATTGTTACTAGATGATGAATTAATATAGCTATTCCAAATCTTTTTCTTAAGTTCTAGTCCTGCATCACGAATTGCTTAGTACACAATTCAGACTGGACATCCTACAGGCATCTCAAGCTTAACTTGTCCAAAACAGACCTAATTTTCTTTCCCTCCAATTCTACTCCTTTTCCATACTTCCCTATTACTGTTGAGGATGTTGCTATTCTTATCACCCATGTTTGTGACTTTGGTGTCATCCTCAACTCTTCATTCTCTCTCACTCCAAACAATTGCCTAATCTTTTTTTCCCCATTTCCTCCATACCTTTTCTTCCAATCACACAACTAATACCCTAGATGCAGCCCTCATCATTTTTTTAATTTAATTTTTTCAACAAACATTTATTTTCTTTCCCTCCCATTCACTGAGAAAAAAAAAAAGACAAACAAAACCCTTGTAACGAATATGCATAGTCAAGAAAAACAAATTCCTGCCTTGCCCATGTGCGAAAATGTACATTTCAGTCTGCAACCTGGATCCATCACCTCTCTATCAGGAGGTGGTAGCCTTCTAATTTGTCTCTCCATTTGATCTCTCCCCATTCCAATCTATTCTCCACACCACTGTCAAAAATGATTTTCCTAAAAGTTCAGATTTGACCAAGTCCTGTCCCTCCTCCCTCCCCCCACCCCCTTGCTCTATAAACTCCAGTAGTTCACTGTCACCTCAAGGATCAAATATCAACTCTCGTTTAGCTTTGACAGATCTTTACAATCTGGCCCTTTTCTACCTTTCCAGACTAATCAATCCCCTCCATGTTATCTATGGTCCAGCCACAACAACCTACCTACTTAATGGTGCTGCCTCTGTTGTCGCCATACCTTTGCACTGGCTGCCCCCATTCACTCCACTCCCCAATCCACCTCCATACCTCTGTCTCCTGGAATCTCTGAATTCCTTCAAGATTCAGCTCCATCACCACCTTCATCAGAAGGCATTGTCTAGGGCCCCAGCTGCTAGCACCATCTCCTCCAAGTTTGCCTTGAATTTGATTTATATATCCCAAATACGTACATTATCTCTCCCTTCAGAATATAAGCTCCTTGAGGGTGAAGGATATTCAGATTTTGTCTTTATATCACCAGCACTTTACATAAGTGACTGGTGCATGTTGTAGTGGTTCAGTTGTATGTGACACTTTGTGACTCCATTTGGGATTTTCTTGGCAAAGATATTGGAGTGGTTTGCCATTTCCTTCTCCAGCTCTTTTTACAGATGAGGAAACTGAGGTGAACAGGGTTAAGTGACTTGCCCGGGGTCATATAGCTAGTACCTGTCTGAGGCTGGATCTGAACTCAAGTCTTCCTGACTCCAGGCTTAGCACTTTATCTACTAAGCCACCTTCCTACCCTGACTGGTGCATAGTAAATACTTAATAAATACTTTATGATTAATTAATTATTTAATGACACCATCCTATCTTTTATACATGAGGCCATGTCTTTGTAGTTTATATATTTAGGACAGTGTTCTAAAACATATTCATAAGTGTTTGTTGTTGATGTTGTCATTCTGGATATTTGTTAAATGCATGAGTGAATGAATGAATGAATGAATAAATGAAGATGACTATCACTTACCCCCATTCCCACATAGTCCTCCTAGTACTTCAATGTTGAAACACTATTATGTTAATGAAGATTTTAACATATCTACTTTTATGACATAAGTGAAGCTAATTACTTGACTGCATTGTAATAGATGTCAGCCTGATCTAGATAAAGTGGTTTCTCATGATTTTAGGAAATTGACTCATTTGATCACTGAAGTAAGTAAATATGCAGAGCATCCACACACTATTAATAGGGTGGCATCCTGACAAGTTTTATAGAGTTTAGGAAAAACAAACAAATACCAAACCACTAACTCTTCAAAGTCTACAAAGGATTTTAAATATGGATGATGTGAAAAAAGTCTATAAACTTATGTGTCAGTCAATCAATAAACATTGTTTTAAGCACAACTACGTGCCAGGCACTGTGGCACTGGAGACAGAAGAAGAGGCAGAAGACAGTCCCTGCCCTCAAGGTGTTTACAATCTAACGAGGGAGACAACGTGCAAATAAATATATTCAAAGCAACATATACAGGACAAATAGGAAGTAATCAAAGAGATAAGGCACTAGAAATAAAAGGGACTAGAGAAGAATTCCAATAAAGGAAAGGATTTTAGTTGGGAGTTAAAGAAAGTTGGGGAGGTCCATAGACTGAGTGGAGGAGGTTCCAGACAAGAGGGACAGCCAGAGAAGATGCCTGAAGTCCACAGTCCTGGTTAGGCTGAGCCTGAAATATAACTAATTGCATAATAGCTAAGATCATAGATTCATTTCGTTTTAGAGGGAACCTAAGAAATCATCTAGGTTAGTGTGGTTCAATGGATTTTGAATCAGAAACCCAGGGCTCAAATCCTCCTGTGTGATTGCTCTGAGCTCCAGTTTCCTAATCTATAAAATGAAGGGAATTGATTTACCACCTCTAATGTTACTTCTAGCTAGAAATCTATGATCCTATGGTCTTGTGTTTCCTTCCTTCCTCCCTTTTAGAGATAAAGAAGACTTACCCAGGATCACAATTAGTTAATCTATGTCTCCTATTTCCTAACTTTTAGTCTACTCCTCTGCATTAGGAGGTACTTCTTGAATCTTGAAAGAGATAATATAGTAAAGGGGGAGATTAAAAATAAATATTTCTTTATACACATGTGCAATAAACACGGGGACCTTGTTAACCAAGAGGCCAAAGTAAAAAATATAAAAGTGATCACCCAAATTCAATAAGTTCACCCCACCCCTTACTCCAAATTGTTAGTGTCTTTCCCCACATTTATTTTGTATCTACAGTCTGTGTATATGTTATATCCCATCATCTCCCCCCAGAATAAAAGCTTCTGGAGGGCAGGAATTATTTTTTCTTTTTCCTTTGTACCTTCAGCATCTTGCATTGTGCCTGGCCCACTGTAGGAGCTTAACAAATGCTTGTTGTTTATAGAGGATAGATCCATAAAGGGTTTTTACAGGGAAGCTAGGAATGATCAAGGGGTTATGCTCTCCCACAAACTGTTTGTTGCTACTGCCATGAAAAAGAAAATCCTGCTGGGGAGATACTGAGGGTGACCCAGTATGGCAATTCCTATAGCTGTGCTGCATTCACTCTGTACAGGACACAAAAAGCTCCTGCAGAGCATTGTCACAACCTATATTTGTCTCCTACTCTTCTTTTTTTTTTTTCAAAATTGCTTTGGGGGGGGAGACAGGCAGTGACAATATGTGCCCTAAATAAAGTGTGTAACTACAGTACACCTGGCAGATTTAGGTTGTGGGCCCTTGGCACACAGACCAAAAACATTTATCTTATTCTTGTGCTGCGTTATATCCCAACAATAGAAGATGGCATCTGTGAATTTAAAGCATTTCAGAAGGAAGGATTTTCCTTTGGGGTTCAATCAGGTGCTTAACCTACATCAAATGTGCTTTTATTTGAGGGAGGGGACATGGGAGCACAGAATATCTAAGCTAGAAGGGTACTTAGGGATTGGTCATCTAGTCCAACCATTTTATTTTATATATGAGTAAACTGAAATGGGTAAACCCTCACCTTATTAGTGATGGCATCAGAGATGGCCACAATAGTGCTATAACATGTCTTTTTTCTTCCTTACTCTACCTATTTGTAAATGGTAAATTGGCACCACCACTTCTCCCCTTATTTGTTTGTTTGAATAATGGTGGATAGGATACAGGAAGAAAACTGGTCCCTTAGAGTAGCCTGTAAAAGTTCAAATAAGTCTCACTAAAAGGAAAGCATAAGGACATAAGATAGATAGACAGGCAGATAGATAGATAGATAGATAGAAGATAGGAGAAATAGAGATAGCTGATTGATATAGGCTAGGTACAGATGATAGATAATAGGACATTAAAATAGAAAGAAATGATAGATGATAGAGATGACAGGAGGGAGGGAGGGACAGAGAGAGAGAGAGAGAGAGAGAATTTATTACTCCCTTATTAAGTGTCAGGCACTCACAGCAGTATGTTTCCTTAGATCCTCGGAAAGGAGGAGAAAGTGTGTAAGGGGGATGTGCCTGCCACGTTTTTGATGTACAGTTTTCTCTTTCCTCCTTTTGTCCCCTCTTCGCGCGCAAACGCGCAGCACACACACACACACACACACACACACACACACTCGCACACGCACACGCACACACACGCACATGGATAGAGGCTGAGGTGGGGGAAGGGAAGGCTGCCTTGAGCCGAATCAGAGGAGAGCGGGTTGCCTGCCTCTTCTCCCACTCTCATTGGCGCCTCCCGTGGGAGCGGCCCCGGCGGCGGCGGCTACTGCTCTCACTCGCCATGGCCCCAGTGCGCTCGGGAGCCGGAGCCAGAGCTGGAGCCACAGCCGCGCCCAGGGTGCTGGCAGCAGCTGGAAGCACCGAGCGCTGAGCGCTTGCTTCCGGGGCAGCCCGCTTCCTAGCCATGTTCTCAGGCAACAGTAGCGACGACGGCGGTGGCGGCTTCTGGGGCAGTGGCCGAGCAGGCGCAGCCGGAGGCACTGGGGTTGCAGGGGAGCCCGGGCCGGAGGGGAGCCCTCGTCCAGCGCCCCTTTTCAGTCCCGGGACTTACGAGCTGCTAGCGCTGCTGATCGCCACCATCGGGCTGCTGGGTTTGTGCAACAACTTGCTGGTGCTCGTCCTTTACTATAAATTCCAGCGGCTCCGAACCCCAACCCACCTCCTCTTGGTGAATATCAGTTTCAGTGACCTGCTTGTGTCCCTCTTTGGAGTCACCTTTACCTTCGTGTCCTGCCTAAAGAGCGGCTGGGTCTGGGACACGGTGGGCTGCGCATGGGACGGGTTTAGCAACAGCCTCTTTGGTGAGTTGGGATGGAAGGAGAAAACACTCCTTTTTTCCATTGCAAACTTCCCTTTCCCTCCCTTTGGACCATCTCCTTGTCTCTATCTGTCAAACCATTCGCTTGTCCCTTCTCACCTACTTAGCCACACATCGCTCCCATTCTCACTGCCCTGACGGTCACTCATCCTGTCGTTTTCCTTCCCATCTGACCTCGGGCCTCATGACTACAAACAGCTTGCCCTCGTTTCACCCAGTCTCTTCATTTCCCACCCTTCAGCTGACCATGACCCCGTTCATATTTCTCCCTGCCATGGCACTAATCCTAAACAGCAATATTTCATTCGTTCCCATCTCCCAGACTCTCTGACTGTTATCTGTAAACTTCTCTTAACAGTCTCTACAGACTCATCAATTCATTTCTTTGCCCGCACAGCCCCCTGCCTTCTCCAATATATTTAACAGACCCGGTTTTCCATCTTTGGGGAAAAAAAAAGTGATGGATGTAAATATGTAAGAGATTTTTTTAGATGTGATTTTACCTACAAAAGATGGGGTGAGAGCATGAAACCATATGGTGCTTTCCCCAGAATTGGAGGTGAAATACTGAAATAGTAGTTGATGGATTCATATTGCCTTTTTTTTTCTTTTTAACAATTATAAAACCTCCAATTGGTTCTTTAGGAGTCAGACACATTCAGATCTCTTATTGCCAGCTGTATCATAGGCTACTCTTGCTCTATTTTCTTTGGTGTCAGTTTCCTATTATTAAAGTCTAAAGTGAAATTATAAGGTAATTAGGTGAATAGATCAGAGGATCCCAATGCAGGTGTGCAGGTAACAGTCCTGTGCAAACAGTGGACTTCTTTGTAGGAGAACTTGAATGTCAATGGAGCATTTGTTTTTACACCCGAACCTTAAAGAAAAAAAACATCCTATTGAGATGTTATATTTTGAATGAATGAAGGCATCATTTCACTAAGGCTGGAAAGGGAATTGCATTTTTGTGTGATAAGAGAAATGTAAATATGTATTTCCAGTTTTAAAGTCCATTTTCTACCTTGCAGGACAGGTGTTAATATTCTAAAATAGTGTTGATAATTCACTGCTGCTTTTATCATTGCAGGATGTAGAGTACCAGTGAATGTAACAGTAATGGAAAACTACTATTTTCTTATGTACTAGTATCCAATGTTCACACATATACAGTAATTCTAGTACTTAGCCACTGTTAGTTATACTTTTATTTTTAAAACTGAAGAAATGTCTTGGAATTCATAACTTCAATTATAAGATTGATTTCAATCACATGATTGTAGTATCATTGATGGCTGTTTTTTTAATACTAAATAATTTAATTTATATAAATAATTGAAACTTGAGAGATTGGTAAAATGTAGACAGATTCCCACATGTCTGTCAATCTTTCTTCTTTAGAGTAATTCAAAATAACCGTCTGGCTGTCTTTAGACTTTTAGGGAGTAGTGATGCAGCTTCCCACTCAGGGCACCAAGAATGAAGATTGTCAAAATGGATGCCTTAGAACCATTTTAGCTGCCTGGAAGTTTCACAAGCATTTCTATACCATTTCTGGTTCATTTCTAGCCCCCACTCTGTGGTGGTAATTAAGTGAGCAAGGGGCTCTTTATTGGAGGGCTTCATGAATCACCATCACCTTCCCTTCTTTACATTCTTCCTAAGGTCCCTAGGGGGCACCCTGGGGCTAGAGTCAGGAAGATTGTTTAAATGTGACCTCAGATATTTGCTAGCTTTGTGACCCTGGGCAAGGCACTTAACCTGTTTGCCTCAGTTTCGTCATCTGTAAAATGGGGATAATAACAGCATATAACTCCAAGGGTTGTGTCAAATGAGATAATAGTTGTAAAGTACTTAACACAATCTAGTACATAGTAAGTCCTATATAAATGTTAGCTATCATTACCATTGTTATCATCATTACTAATCTCTCCTAGCACTCCCACTCTTCTTCCTTTCTTGCTCCAACCTTCTCCCAGCTGACCACCTCAGGGTTAGAATCAGACATAGTGAAAACACAGTTTTACCCTTTAGCCTGCCCTGTTTTTAAGAGCCCTTGGGTCAAGCTTTTGACTGCTACCTTAGCCCAAATTTAAATGGGGCAAGGGTGAGGGAGAAGAGGGAGACTGAGGCAGGGAAGTAAAAGACTTCTAAATCTTTGCAGACAAGTCGCTGGTGGCCATGGAACTAAAAGAGTTCCTAGCAGTAGCTAGGGATTTTGGGATAAAATCCAAGAACCGTGCCCCTTGTTTGCAGAGTAGGGTGGGTAGGGGAAAAAAGGGGAACATGGTATATCTACAGTATTGACAGTCTTGTGCTACAGTACCATCAGCGTCAGAAGCAATGCTTAAACCTAGAAGTGGATTAACAACAACAACAGCATTTACATAGTGCTTTAATGTTTACAAAGCACTTTACAGATATCTCATTTTGCCCTCACAACCACCCTAGGAAGTAGATGTCATTATGGTAGCCATTTCACAGATGAGGAAACTGACACAAACTGAAGTTAAGGGACATGCTTAGGGTCACACAGTTAGTGTCAGACTGGATTAGAATTCAGGTCTTCGTGACTCCAGCACCAATATTCTGGCCACTGCAGCATGATGGAGCAGAAAAGGCACTGACCTGAGAGTCAAGGCAAGTCTAGAGTTTCCTCGTTTATAAAATGAGGGATCCCTAAAGTCTCTTCCAGCTTAAAATCTGTAGTCCTTAGTACAATGTTATTATTATTCAAGCTGTAGGCTAGATAGTCAGTACATGAATGAATAAATAAGTATACAAATACTGGATCCAGACTGCTTCATTCTAATCCAGAAGAGCTAAAACCAACTTCTGGGTTCCTAAAGCAAAATATCTCAATTCTGGTCGTAATTTTAAATTAGAGGATACACACACACACACACACACACACAACATATATATTTATTTATTTGTACATATATACATGTAATATATACACAAATATGTATATATACATATACTGAATTCTATGTATGGTGTATATACTTGCAGGGCTGTTTTGAGTAATACATTTTTGGCAAGTATCAAGTGCTTCATAAATGAGAATTATTATTGTTTTAGGTTAGATGATTAAATTGACCATTTTAGCTAAATTGACTAATTAATTTTTTTCCACGAGCCAATCAATTCAGTATAAACACTAGTTGAGTGTATGTAGAATTGCACTTATGTGAGTGCATGTAGAATTGCCTTGTTTCGCCTATTTCAGCAAGGTTATTAACTGAAAGGGAGACTCAGACAGCTACTCTCTGATATTACCCTTTTATTGTGAGACAGTGGACAGAAAAGGGGACTCCTGTCTATGTCTGGTGTGCTTAGTGCAAGGCCCATGAACAGATGTGGGAAGCAATTGTTAGAGCAATCATCAAAGCCAGGCAGGAAGGCAGCAGCTGTTGCCAGTAGCCCTGATGAGAGCACTTGCCTCTCTCTTCCTTTCTGAAGCTCCCTTTAGCTACTTTCTAAATGCAGAGCTAGTCAGATTTCTGGCCCGCTGCTCCTAAATTGCCCCATATGTGGCACAGTTGACTTTGTTGCCTAGAGGTAGAGTAAGAGAGCCAGGAGTCCTTTGTTTGAAAGAGCAGTGTGACCCTGGGAAGTCCTCTTACGTCTGTGTTTGTGTTCCACTGTGTTTTGGATGATCCTGGTTAGAGTTCAGGGCAGTGGGCTATACTGTAAATTTCTGAAGGCCTTAAGGCACAGGGTATACCAAACAGCTGTGAAGTGATAACATTGAGTCACAAAGTCAGTGATAGTTATATCCTTGACAATGCCTTCTTGGGTCTTCCCTACCATCTTGAACATGCCTATGTTAAAGGTCAAAGAATAATGACTGCTGGAAAGTAAGCCCTAGTGAATTCTACATGAGCATGCTCTTCAGCCTGACTGGCACCTCATCTTTTGCTTCCACAGATTTACAGCTTTTTGCTGCAAGATATTTGCAAATGCTAGTTGCTAAAATGAGGAAACTTTGGGGTATCTTTTTTTTTAAATGAAATGACCAGTCAAGTCAAAATTGTCCAAATAAAATGACATATCCTTAGTTCTCATGAAGCTGGAATCATGAGAGATATTTTGATCTACTATCCTGCTTTGAGGCAAGATCAGACCCAGAGCATACCAGCCTAAAAGCCTTCTTTTCAAGTATTCAGTATTCAGAAATGATTCTATGCCTTCTTTCCATATGGCAAGATGGATGTTGCAAGTGTGTATGTGTGTGTGTGTATGTGTGTGTGTGTGTACATGTGTGCATATATTTCTATGGCTATAGATATAAATGTACATTAAGGAACAATAAGTTGATTGATGTGAGAACTCTCTCCACTAATACAGATTGCAACCTTTCTGTGACTTAGAAGTCTTCATGTGATAATGTGAAAGAAAAATTAAGCATTTTGCAAATAACTTCTCCAAAGCTGGGTAACATGGTCCTTGGACAACAGAAATGTAGTTTATTATCTGGCCTCAACACCTTTCCAAATTTTTTTTTCATCAGGCACTGGATTTTTTTAGTTCAAGTATTTAAATACAAAGAGAGAAAAAGTTATATTGCAATTTGAAGTATGAAAATATCTTCAAATTGTTGCTTGTTTAATTTATGCATTGGAACATTAATATTATTTTTTAAATATGTTTATGACTTTTTTGTTTTCTAATACAATTTTAAGTCTTCCCTTCGTCAGTCAATTTTTAGTCACGTCCAACTCTTCGTGACCCCATTTGAGGTTTTCTTGGAAAGATACTAGAATGGTTTGCCATTTTCTGCTCCAGCTCTTTTTACAGATGAGCAAATGGGGTTGAGTGACAGGGGTCACACAACCAGTAAGTGTCAGGCCAGATTTGAACTCATGAAGTTGAGCCTTCCTGATTCCAAGCCCAGTGGTCTATCTACTGTGCCACCTAGTCTTCTCTTATTTCTAAGCAATTAGAGGAGAGGTGAAAAGAGACATAATAATTAGTTTTAGC